TTTAAAAAAAAAAAAAAAAAGAAGAAATTATGGATAGAGATATGTCTGGTATTTCATTGCGATTCGTTATATTATTGTTGGTATATTGAATAGTTTGTATTATTATTAATGCGAAAATCGTTTCGTTTGCGAAAAAATTCGAGTTTTATAATTTTTTGATTTCGAAAGTACATCACATCATTGGATGAAAAATAAAGTAAAATAATCATTTTATAAGTAACGTGACGCAAATGATCGTAAAAAAATGTTTATCTTATTTTTACGTTGTACGATATATGAATTACAAATAATGATAATGAATGTGATTTAATACGTAATAGCATGTTGCATATATCGATATAAAAAAAAAAAAAAAAAATGAGTACGTTTTTTCGTGCCAGTCAATAAATCATTAACGATTATTTAATTTTTATCGTTTTGCGTCTTTATCAGATTTAATTTACCACCTGTGAGATAGAAATTGTATCTACGAAGGATTAGTTAAAAACTTAATTTTTGAGATAAAGAGTGATGAAATAGTAATTATCATCATTCATAGTTTAGTTACGGAACACAGGAAAAAAAAAAAATTTTCCAATGTTTATTAAATACATATTTATGATTTTTTTTATCATAGTAATTAACACAGTAACAAGAATTTATTATTTGTTAATAAAACAAAAAAAAATAATAATAATTTTCTATCAATATGCATGAAGAACACGATATCGAAAATATATATATTATTTAAAAATATTATTAAAAATATTCATAGTTATTTTTTTCCTCGCGCAATCGAAACGATATTTTATACTAAATGCATATAATGTATAACATTTATGAATAATTTCCATTCCAAAGATTAAATAATAAAAAAAACTCGTACAAATTTCCCCCTCATTTTCATTCATCATATTCTCAGGCTAAATTAAATAACAATTCACACAACGATATCTCTATATATATATCCATTTTAAAATAATGCATAGACAAGCCAAGAATTCAATATTTGCCGTCCGTGCAAAGTACTCGCTTCTCGAAGTGTGTTAGCAGCTTCTCAAAATCATGATTTATCGTAATTCATATCCGAACAACCTAATATTATTAAACGCCACGTTTATATCCCCCCCTCCTCTTTCGTAACATCGTTTCATCGCATCATTATTTATCATCGTATTTTTCGCGGAAACTTCCTTTCCTTCTCGCGCCCAGCCGTAGTACATCGTGCATATATACCGGTACATACATAAATCCGAAAAAAAAACAACAACGCGGATATCGAAGCGATTTTAATCTGGCGAAAATACGCAGAGACGACTTTTGTCTCCGTTCCGTTCGATTCGCTTCAATTGGATTTATTTATCTACGTCATTAAATCCTTTCGAAAATTTTCAGGCGGAAACCGGGAGGGGGAGGGTTAAGGGAGGAGAGGAGGGAGGAGAGAGAGACGGATAAGCGGTAAAAAATATGCCCCATCCGCTCGCATATTTATTTATTTATGCGATAGATCAGGTAGGTAGAAGTTGGATGGATAATCCGATTGTTAACTCGACATTTCGATAAATGATTTGTCTGCGTTTCAGTGGAGAAATATTTACCGGGGCGAAAATATGGGCCCGTAAATCTCGGCGCATATTATTGTTTCATCCGCGATAAAACAGCGGCGCTGACATAATTTCATTTGCGTAGTAAACCTTAATTACGACACGTGAAAAATAAAGCTCGCTCGCGCGCGCGCGCGCGCGCGGACGAGACCTCATCCCTTTCTACCTTCCCCCTCCCCCCTCTTCTCCGCCCATGCGATATCTCTGTCCCGTCCACGTGTCCACACGCATCTCCCTCCCTCTCCCGATCTCTCTGATGCTCGAAAATTTTAACAAAGAGCGCCACGTCGCCGCCACTTCAACGTCCATTAATAATTTAATTCGGAACGACCGACGTTATTGTTGCGCGTGATTTTTTGCGTCGCTAAGCGTGTCAACCGTTCCGTAAATTACTCGTTAAAAGCGGCGAGAAGGAAGCTAAATATAGCGTAATGGGGGGAGGGAGGACAGGGGGAGGGGAGGCAAAAAATGAAAACATACAAATGGAAAAAAAGGGAGGTAAATTGTTAAACTACCAAGTGTCCAAATGCGAATCCTTTAATTCCTCCCCAGTTCGTTTCGTAATTTGCAAAAAAAAGAAAAAAAAGGAAAAATTCCACCGTTCATTCGTTGTGGCGTTATTTCGAATAAAAAAGAAAAATAATAATAATAATAATAATAATCTCGAGAAAAGGAATGAGAGAGAGAGAGAGAGAGTAGGAGAGCGAAAATACGAGGGACGCAAAGATGAAACGCAAAAGAGCTAGAAAATAAAAAACGAAAAAAAAAAAAAAAATAGAACGAAATATTTTCTACTCACGTGTCTCTCCTCGGTCGAGCTGAGACCTGTAACGAGACAAATGCAAACAGTCGTCAGTCAAAAAAGCCGTGCGAAACGTTTCCAAACGTAGGAGGGTAGGATAGGAGAGGGGAAAAAAAAAAAAAAAAAGAAAAAAAAAATCATTTTCATGCATGACTTCGGGACAGGCGAGACGGGAGGATGTTTAGTGGGTGGATGATGGAAAGGTAGATGAACGGATGAAGAGAGAGAGAGAGAAAGAGAGAACAAAAAAGAAAGAAAAAAAAAAACTGTCGAAATTCTGGCCGCCGCGCGTCGATAAAATGTTAATAACGTGCCCATAAAAGAGAGACAGTAGGGGGTGGGAGGAAGGGGGGTAGGCTGCAACGTTCTACGTGTATGTGTGTATACGTATGTGTGTATATGCGTATAGGCGTGTGGCATAGGCGTGTGGCGTGGAAGCGCGAGCGGCGCCCGTATAAATGATCTTCATGCATATTTATGCGCTTTTCGCTCAAAACCGCCGGTGTCCGCTAACAGGGTGACGCAAACACGCTCATCCCCTCTCCTCCCTTCCCCCTCCCCCGAAAGCGGATACCCGAAAAGCGCTTTGAAAATTTCCAGTCGAGCGAGCCGAGCGGAGCCGAGCCGGGCCGAGCCGTACGCTCGCGTCACGTCGGCTACATATTCTTTTTCCTCTTTTTTTTTCTTTTTTCTTCTCTCTCCCCATCCCCCATATACTCTCCTCCCACGCTGTCCAGAGCGGCGCATCCATCCCTTTCGACGGCACATACACGTATATACAGTGAGATCGGTATATACACGCGCGCGTGCGATCGGCCGATCGACTGGCGCTCTCTCTTTTTTCCAGAGAGGGAGGAAAAGAGGGAGGGGATATCGGCAAAAGCGGGATCAAACGGATGATGGTGACAAAAAGAGAAAAAATCTATCCCCTCCCTCTCTCGCTCGTCGACGAGTCTCGACGATTTGCACAGCGTTGAACTCGAGCGAGCGTTGGCGCGAGCGCAGATGCGATTCGTTATATATATATATATATGTATGTGTGTGTGTGTATATATGTGTGTGTATTATATCGCAGCGCCACTCGAACGTGACCAAAGGCCGGAATTTCGTTAATTTCTTTTCCCGCCGCGCTGCCCGCAGAGGTGGCAATTAAAATCGTGTGAAAGGGCGGAAGGTATGCGTATAACGAGTATCCCGGGGTTTTACGATTCTCGTGGGGAGGGGGAAGGAGGAATTCGATCGTGAAAGAGGGTGGCGTGTCACCCGCCACGCGGTGGTCTTCTGCGGTTTTTTGGAATTGGGGAGGGAGGGATAATGCGTCGTGGAAGGTGGAAATTAACTGGCGTTAATTCTGGTAATTTTTGAATTGGAGACGAGGATCGATTCTCCGAGGTCGTAGATGTTTGGGATGGCTGGAATCTTGAGATTAGGGATGAGGGGGAAGAAGAAATTTCGCGTAATTTCTCGCGTAGAAGACGGGTGTTCGATTTTGGATGGAGCATTTGCGATTTTACACTGAGCGCGTTTTACGTCATAATTAACCCTTCGACTTGTTTGCACGTTGAAAGTTGGATTCGCGTATGATTCACTCGCGTGCGCGTTGCTCGCGCTCGTTGGAAATAGGCGGTTTGTTTAATGATTCCGTTTCATCGGAAGCATATTTTACGAGTAACGTACTACAGTCAAACAATATCATCATCTTTATTATCGTCTTTGTTGACTTTTCTAGTAAAATGAACGAGCCTTTGTGCAAATATCGAGTAGATCTCATCCCGGTGTCTTCATTATCCCGATTTCCGTTTCGATGAGATATTATAATAACATTTCTAAAAAATATAATCTCATTGGAAATATATAAACGAGCCTCGTTGTAACGCTCTCTAACGATCATGAGTTTCACGATAAAATTACCAAACCAGATATCATAACGAATAAAAAAAAGGAAAAAAAAAAGAAAAGAAAAGAAAAGAAAAAGAGAAAATAAAAATTGGAAATTACTTAAAAGGGTCAAAGGGTTAAAAATGAAACGATAAGATTATTAATCGTTCACGGTTAATCGAAAT